ATTCTAAAATATAATATAAATATACTTGTACACTTTTATGAGCATATTGTGTTTTTTTTTTTACATGTATATGTCTTATGGCTGGGGGTCATTCTGTTAATTTGTCCCGACACCGTGAATGTTACCATGACGTCATTGGTGCGTTCACGTGTGCGTGTGTGTGTGCGTCGACCGGTGGGGACCAGTTCCCGGAAATTAGCGATTATACGAACGTTATCGGAATCGCGGTGGCTTGTGATCTATTAGTAACATTAGGTATAGCCCGTTGTATAATAAATGTATTGACGATAAAAATAACTCGTTGTAAATTATATAATATAACTAACGTTGGTTAATAGTTCGTTCATCGATGTCAGTAGGCATTATAGGTATTTGTAATTTTAGTAATTGGTAAGCTTATAATTCTTCGTAAATATATTTATATTATTTACATTATATATATTATACACACCAATTATCACCGCTGCTATACCGCATTGGTTGATCGTTCATCAGTTGTACGCTAGAATTTCATACGGAATAATCGTGTGTGTGTGTATTATACTATGGCTCCGAAACGTAAAGTTGAGTTAATGCGTGAATCTTGTAAACGTAAGCGCGATAATGAATTGCGTTATAGCGATGAGTTTTTTCTGATTATTCGCGATACGCCATTCTGTTCAAATACTACTGATTCTGAAAAATTTGAAGCGTTTTTACGTTTACGAGATTGAAATGCACCAAAGCCGGCGAGTAATGCCGAAAAGTGTAAAAAATATCGCGAAGTCGACAAATTACGCAAGCGCGAAATCGACAAATTATGCAAGCGCGACGCTCGTTTAAAGAACAAGCTCAAAATCGTCATTCCGATAACCGAACCGCTGCGAAATGTCTGTATTGACGAATTTCCCGCCGCTGATAACAAATTCAATTTTCGTTTTATCCAAAACAAATTCGGTGTTCCCTGCGCTGTTTGCGATCTCCTTTAGTTCGAGAAAGATATGAAGTACGTTCCCCGGAAAGCCGTAGATTTTTTGCTCGAAAAATACCCAAAGACTTAGATTCTCATAATATGAGCGTGTGCAATACTTGTTATAAAACTCTGCTCAGTAACAAAGTTCCTCGTTTTACTACGATTAACGGTTTTTATTATCCTCCATTTCCGTCTGATTTACCGCCTCTCGATCTTATCTCTGAACGATTAGTGTCACCGCGTCTCCATTTATGTAAATTCGCCGTCTACGTTTTTTACATGGTTCTAAAGGTATCGCCGGGCAAGTAATCAACATTCCAGTGGATGTTAACTTAATGGTATCGGAACTGCCTCGCCAACTGGATGACGATCTTGCGTTCAATGTTCACATTAAACGACATTTAATTCATAAATCGACCTACTTGACGGGATACGTGAAAAAGTCGGTAGTAAAAAGGTGGCTCCGATTTCTCGTCACTAAACCATTGTACCTCGGAATTCGTATCAACGAGTCTTTGTACCGCGAGTATGATAATTCACCCGCTTTGGCACCCGTTCCTGAGGCAGAATCTGATGCGTCTGGCGAACCTATGATCGAACCCATTTCCGAAAACCCGGAGCACGTTAACGATCTCTTACTCTCGAAGCAGCAAACGTTGATGTGGAGTGAGGATAAGTATCTTGAGCTTGCGCCCGGGATGAACAAACATCATATTTCGCTTCTGTTCGATGAGCATGCTGAAGAGCTCTCATTCCCGTCCATTTACCTAGATGAACCACGTAAATTTACGATTGACGGCGTTACACCGTATATGATGGCCACTAGCGAGATCCGTCGTTCCGATCGCCGCGGAGTCAAGCCCGAACACGTTCTCTATATGGCAATGAAAGTGATGCGAATGCGATTGACGGAAAGCATGTTTTGCACTTTCAAGAATAGCGATAACTTAAAGAAGCTGACTCGCAAAAATATCGAAGATAAGCAGATTATGGACAGTATGATCGAGTGTAATCTGGCGTTCTTAAAATCGATTCCTAATAGCGTGCAATATTGGATGGCTAGAAAAAAAGACGTGTTTGCGATGATTCGACAGCTCGGAAAGCCCACGATTTTTCTCACTTTAAGCTCGAGTGAGTACATTTGCTCTGATCTTTTGCGAATACTTCATAAATTGGAAGTGGGAAAGGAATGGGCCGGTGAAGGCGATCCAGCCACTTCAATGAGCACTGATTTGCGGACGACGCTCATCAATGAGGACCCGGTAACTTGCTGCTTGTACTTTGATAAACTCGTCGACACAATAATGTATATTCTAAAGTCGAAAATGTATTCTCCGTTCGGTCGCTACCATGTCGTCAACTATTTTAAGCGCGTAGAGTTCCAACAGCGTGGTAGTCCGCACGCACACATTTTACTTTAGCTCTCCGCTGATCCCAAAGAAACCGTCGACGAAAATATGCAACTGACTATATCCTTGATCGACTCGTTAATTAGCGTTGATCCTGATCGTATCGAACAAGAGAAATTTTAGAGGCACAAGCATAAGTTTGTTACATGCCAACCGTTTGATCCGTTAATTCAGTTACAACGTCTCTGTCAACGCTTGAGTGGAAGTGTAGTCAGGAATAATTAAGACTTCTTTTTTTGAAATAATTAAATTTATTTAACTTATAAAAATTATCCTAACTACAAAATTCTGTAAATATTCTAGTGATAGAAATTATCTAAGTCCTAACAATTGTAACTTATAAAATAATTAGAAATATTTCTAAGTCCAGACCATAACATACACTGACGTGAAGGTGCTCAGTGCAGCATAGCCAAAACTCGTCTGATTTGCCCTTGTTTTCGGGTCCCTTTTACATGTGATACGGTATGTGTGTGTGTAAAATCCCAAGTGTGTGTGGGTAAATGAAAACGATAATAAAATAAGATAAATGTGATGACTCGTTATTGATTCGGTGTGTGTGCGCTCTAAAATATGATAATTCTTTATTGATTCTGTATGCTGTATGTATTCTGTATATGTATATAACTATCTCTTGACTGGCCCATATTTAATACAAGATCCAGGATGTGGTCAACCACCCACGTATATGTGACTCCGATATTCATATTCTTATTTAAACAGATAACCATGTGAACAATTTAACTTATTCACACGCCTAGTTTCGATGTTCATGAGAACCTCTTATAATGTGTGTTTTATACTATGTGACTACAGAGGACGCGACACGTTTACTTGTTACAAACGTGCCAAAGAGGAACAGAACAAACGTTGTCGTTTCGGAGCCCCATTCTGGCCGATGGAACGTACGGTGGTGCTTCTGCCGATCACAAAGGACGACAGTCGTCGCGAACGATTGCGACAAAAGTGCGCCGATATGCACCGCTCGCTCGAATTCGAAGAATTTGATTCGTTAGACACCTTTCTCTTACACCATCGTATCGATAATAACGACTACTATCTCGATATCTTGCGCGCCGGCATCACTCCTCCCGAGATATTTGTAAAGCGATCGATTGCGCAACGATGGATTAACAATTTCAACCCATGGGTCGCGAAAATTCTGCGTTCAAATTGTGATATACAGTTTATTCTGTAAGAGTACTCGTGTGCCACGTATGTTGTTGAGTATGTGAACAAAACAAACCGTGGAATGAGTAATTTGCAACGCGAACTAATCAAACTACGAGACAAATATCCCGACAAAGATTATAGCGCTATATTGACCGAAGTCGGGTTGAAAATGTTGAACGCGGTAGAAATTTCCTCGCAAGAGGCCGTGTGGTACTTACTGAACCTGCATATGAGTGAGTGCAGTCGTAAAGTCGAGTATGTTCCAACGACGTGGCCACATGAACGTCAGCGCGTTCGCAAATCAAAGAAACAAATGGACGACGAGGTGCTGGGAACAGAATCAACAGATATTTGGAAAGAGAATGTTCTAGAAAAGTACGAATCTCGTCTGCCAACGATGGCGACAGTATCACTTGCGCAGTTTATGGCTTATTTCTATCAAGATCGAAAGAAGAACTACAAGCGCCGAGCGATATCGAAAATATTGCGGTATCGAAATTACCAGCTCGCAGAAGCGGACGAGTACAAGCGAGAAATGGTCCTTCTTCACGTACCCTTCCGCAATGAAGAGATCGATGTACTAGACAGAAATCGCTATTGAACTCTTTATGACGAACACGAAGCGTTCATTATGGAATCGCGTAAAGAGTTTGAGTCAAATTTGGACATTGCAAAAGTTATGGAAGAATGCCGCCGGCTCTTTATCGAAGATAATGATAACTTGGGTGAAAACGCAAATGAGTTCATCAAAAGTAAGACAGTGGAAGATGATTTTGTACAAAACGTACGAATGGACGACGACATCCGAATGAGGGTGATGGAAAAGATATCGTCGGTTGTACGTAAACGTGAAAACGTAATATCAGCCGAACAATACTGCGAAGCGATGCGACGAACAAACCAACGACAGCGTGATCTCGTACTCGAAGTTATACATTGCATCTTTGCGGATGGTGAGCGTAAACCACTACAGATTTTCTTAAATGGTCCTGCCGGTAGTGGTAAAACCTTTACAATGAAAATGTTAATGGAAACGTACAATCGCTTCTCTCAGCATCACAACAATGCGTTCAACGCGTACGTTGCTTCCGCTTCAACTGGCATGGCTGCATCCGCGATCAATGGAACTACCGTGCACGCCGTCTGGCATAGGTAATTCTCAAAAAACGACCAGCCTTACCATTGAAGCGTTGAACTCTTTTCGTGCGGCATTCGATAACGTTCGCATCGTTTTCGTGGACGAACGCAGTATGATCGGTGCCGCTCTTCTCGGCCAAATGAACTCACGTTTGCAGCATACACTACAAGATTACGAGCGCCCGTTTGCGGGTATGGATATGGTATTTACCGGTGACCTACGTTAACTCTCGCCCATTTGCCAGACGCCCATTTATAAACGCCCAAAACAGAATTTCTGTTGCGAAATCGTCTGGCAATCGCTCGATTACTATCCACTCATGCAAGTTATGCGGCAAGCCAACGTTGCCTTCTCATCCGTGCTCACCAAGATTGGCGACGGTGAACCCTTACTTCCTGAAGAGAAAACGATGATCGAATCCCGCTTCGTGGAACGCGAATTCGTCGATCGTGAGTACCTTCAATCAGTTCGTCTTTTCTTCCGCACGCATGACGTACACCAGTTCAACTCCGAATCTATTTGTGGAGCGGAAATGATTGAATACGTAGCCGCAGACCACTATACTGGCCATCATACAACGGAACAGCTCGCAAGCGTCCGTGCAAAAGTCCACAAACTTAAGCCCGACGAGATTGGTGGTTTACCATACATCCTTCGCCTCCACATCGGTAAACCGTACATGGTTACCACGAATGTAGACGTACTCGATGGTCTCGTCAATGGAGCTATCGGCACTTTACGCTACATCGACCGCAATGCTGAAACGAGTGCGATCAAACGACTATGGCTCTGTTTCGATGATTCGAAGATAAGTTGTTTACTACGTGTAAAAGCCCAGGCGCATTTACTCGCCAATCCGGACTTCGATCATTCGTGGACACCAATATCGCAGCGTACTTGCAATGTGCATACAACGAGTAAAATCGTTACTTGCAAACGCACACAGTTTCCACTCGTTGAAGCCTGTGCAATTACGATCCACAAATCGCAGGGAGGTACGTATGATACTATCGTTTACGAGTACAGTAAAAGTCACGAACAACAGCTTGTTTACGTCGCCCTCTCTCGCGCTACCTCACTAAACGGGTTGTACCTAACGAATCGCGATGGTGACCACGTGTTTTACCACCATCGTGGAAAAGTGAATCGAGAATTAAGGAATGAGTTTGCTCGTCTCGAATGCCTTCGTTTAAAAACAATAGGAAACACATGCCGCGATTTTCTCGATCGTTCTTTGCAGTCAGATTTTACCTCGCTTTCGCTTTGCACGCAATCTTAAACGCTCACTCGCTTGAAATAACTACAGATTTTGTACTTCCACGCTGTAAATTACTTTCCATTTCCGAAACATGGATCAAAAATGATGAATCTGTCGATATACCGGGTTTTCGCACGCTTTCGCGTTTCAAACGAAATACGATTCGTTCGGGCGGTGTTGCTATATGCGAAAGTAAGAATATGAGTTCTTCCGATGGAGTACAATTTGTTCAAATTTAATCGAGAAAATAAGAACGTGAAGCGAATTGCGACATCTCATGACGATATCGGTGACATTTGTTCGATCGAGACGACAATCAATTGTAAACGAACTGTACTTGTGTCAGTTTACATTTCTCTGAATACACCATTTGAAAGAATTAAAGAATTTTTGTTCTTAAATCTAATGACAAACAGCCCTAAATTAAAAGGAATGTTCAAGGTGCTCAAAAAGTATAACAATCACGATTTACCCATGATCGTTGGCGGAGACTTAAATTTGGATTTACGAGGATCACACGAAACTGAATTCATCGAATTTATGCGCACCGAACTTGGATTAGAATTAAGTAACGATCTCGCATCATCTACTTCGCGCAATTCAACTTGTATCGACGCCGTATTTTATCGACACATCGAGAAGCTTGAAACTCGTGAGTACTTTTCATATTTTAGTACACACCGTCTTTTATTATCCATCACTAAAAGTATTGTAAATTACGATTCTGTAGTTTAAATTAAAAATTTAAATAAAAATTTAGAAAAATGTATACTCAATAAATAATTGCTGTCTTTGAAAAATAAATAAAAAATTCCTGTCTTTGAAACTTGTTTATATTTTACACGTGTTAAAAAAGTTACCTACAGTTTAATCCTCGTCTCCTCGTATCTAACTATATTCAGTAGAAACAAGACATATACATGTACCGATGTATCTGTATGTAGTGTAAATACTCTTAGTTTTTTTTTTTTTTACAAGGTATTAATTTCTAATTCAGTTTCATCCCTAATAAATGACCTCTTGAAATAGCTTGACCCACAGTTCCCCGACTCTGGATCCGTCCCTGTCTGACCCCCCCCCCCCTAGTGTGTGTTGCTCACGAAAAGGAGGAAGAATACCCTAATAAAATTATTTTTAAATAATTTTAATGCTTTTTACAGTATATGCTTCTTCAAAGATAAATGACCAATGATGACGTTAATAGCTTTCTTTATAAATATTTAATTGGTGTACGGTGTCCTTTGCGGTATTGTTCGTTTGATGTACAAAGATAAAGCGGTTCCATATGGCAACCATTAGAAATATTTAATTAGGGTATGGCACCCATTCCGGTACAATTTGTTTGATGTACAAACATAAAGCGGATGTATATTGTTTCTATAGAAATATTTAAAAGGTTTTTAATGTCATGCCAGTTGAGACATGTTAAGATTTGGTCAAAACCTGTGCGACAACCCCCACTATACAATAAGAAAATCTACTGCGTTATACATTCATAACCATGAGATTGAAATTAGTCGCTCTCCGTTCGTTGCAAGCTATACTCGTTTATAATTTTTTTTTTGTACAAGTGTTTTTAAATATTTTAATATGGCCGGTTCACAACGCTGCTGTGTACAAGAAATTCGTCTATATACCACCAACACCACCAAGCAACCTAATGGAATCATCAACATTCAATATAAACTTCGAGGCTTGCAAATTTATAAACATTGGATTGGACCCCGCTGATCATTTAAACGTAGTTAAAATCATCCGGACTGATTTAGTAAGTTATTTTTTCAATATGTTTGAAATCCTATGATTACAAACATGGGTTTTTCAAGTAAGTTACTAGATTTGACAGTTCACGAATGAGATGTATTCTGCGGGAGTACTTTTTCAACATTACGCCACAATGGCTATGATTTAAGCACGTTTTGATGTCATCAGCGTATGTTGAATGCGATATAACGGGAAGTGTTTGTCTGAAATCACCTGAAAGGAGTAACAGAGGGCCGCCAAATAGTTTGTTGTTTTTTTATATATTTTAATGTCCTGTTTAATGCCTCAAGCGAATATTTGTGTGCAATAGTGCTTTTATCCCTGATGATAATTTTACACTGTTTCAACACTGTGGCCATGGACGATTGTTGTTTATGTTGCACACTGCGTCTAAGTTATTTTGAATATTTAGTGACAGTTTAAATACTGAATGAGCTGTTCTGCTATAAAGTTCAATCCTGCTACAGCAAGCATACATTCGTACCGGTTGTCGTCTTCCAGCAAACCGGGTGCAAGTCATGCATCTTTATACGTTGGAAACTGTTGGCCATTCACTTTACGTATATTTTGAAAAGACAATGTGCCGGTGACATTAACCAATGACAATTAATGATAATAGTATTAAGTCTGCCTTGAATTGACTATAAATACTCGACCCAAGATGTTTTATTCAAATAAACCGGGATATGCATCAATCGGTGTGCTTTGCTTATGGGGCATGAATTTTTTTGTCGGAGTCCATGTGAAATAGCATGGTACTTCTGAATAGAGTAATTTCTGTGCAATAGCACCAAAAGCATCCGCATAATTACAAATTCAAAAAATTCGGTGAGTAGTTTTTGGTGGATTTGTAGCATGATCAATAGCTGTCTCGCTCGTGAAATATACGCACTGGCCATTTTCAAGATGAACGGCTAAATGAAGAACTGCTGGATCCCGTTCATGAATTGAGAAACCAAAAATATATAAAACAACTTCATTGGAACTGACGTAAAGTGATATTTCATCGTTGTTATTCACCGGAGGAGCATTCACATTCGTATTTTCAATTCGAAATTCTGCCTTTATTCACATACTTGCAAATGTATTTCATGTTCTTCACTAAACTTCAAAATTCAACATTAACATGAGCATCGTATATTTTGCTCATCAGAGGTGAATATGGAACCACCCAACGGATATCGACGTCAATGTTTATATTGATGATATTTTTTATCAAATGACTCTCCGCAGTTATTTGTGTTTCTTCAACGAGGATATCCGTCAACATTTGTAATTGTATCTTTAGTGAAATTTTTCGGAAAACTTTTAGTACATTTTCTATCCACCATGCAAAGCGATGAACGATGCTTAAAATATCAATAAAATTGTGTAAAGATTAATTCATTTTGTATTTAAATAACTTAAGAGTTGAACAATTTTTCAAATCGAGTAAAGTTTGTGATACATTACTTCCTAGCGAATGTATTGCTGTTGAAGTGCTCAAATCATTATTAATTATGTTGAAACTATCTGGGACTTGATATGCATTAAAATAAACACTTATTATTAAATTAATAATTATTATTCATAAATAATCACTATCTGGGTTATGAATAGCCGAAAAACTTCCATCATCATATTTATGCATAATTAAATTGATAATCTAGTTTTATAAAAAAAATTTATATCACTTAAATTAAATCTTCAAAAGTTAAAACAATTTTACTACAAACATCATTTACTTTCATGTTTGATATTGATGTTGTAATATGATTTACGAATATCATTGGGACACCTAAAAAATTTTTTCATTATGAAACCAAACATTCTGGTGGAATTTTCTTATAGGACCAATTACAAAATGTACACAAATAATGTTTATTTTTCAGTTGTCTTCACCACACCTTAATTTTATGCGGGCGGATCGTGCTGACAGCTTCGGTGGTGTTGTTATTGACGCTCATCGTTCCATACATATGAAAAAGATTCCTTTAAACAACACATTAAAAGTTAATTTAGTGAGCCAATCTATTGATTTTGTCGGGATCGAGGCATTTATTAATTCCGATCACTCTACAACTATGGTCTTGATATATTCCTCCTTCTTCCAACCCCTCCACAGCTTTACTCAATACTTTATTTCCGCTTATCGGCGATAATTCTATTTTGGAAGACGACGGTAATGGTTACCATCCAATATGGGATATTATCAACAACTTAAATCATCGTGGAGATGTTGTTCTTTCTTCTTTTAATAATTTTAATTTGTGTTGCCTCAACTCTGGAGCTCTTACGCGCGTCAATTGTCCACCATTTCCCAACACTACAGTGGATATTACTGTCACCACCAACGCTCTCTACTGATCCCTATATTGGCTTCCTTTAGACGTGCCTCTCGAAAGTGATCACTTTCCTGTGATAATTGAATATTTTGCTTTTCCATCAATTTCCCCGAATCTTAAACACCACGTCAAGACACACCCTAAATTAATGTATTCTAAAGTTTTTTTCATCTCACCTGGACTCACTCATTGACTTCTTTGTTTTCTCCAATTTTCCAATTTACAACTATAATTCCTTCATTTTTCTCTTGAATATAGATACCAGCCTCGCTATCCCAATTAAATGCACCTCTTTCAAATTTCCCTCCACCTCGTCCATATGGTGGAACCCGTATTGTTCCGAGACTATCAAAAAACGTTCCACCGCTTTTAAATGTATAGAAATTCGGGTTCCTTGGTCGACTTTTTTTCCTATCAAAATGCTTTTGGCAATACCAAACTCACTACTAATACAGCGAAAAGAAATTTATGGTTTAATTTCTGTTTTACTCTTAACCACTCTAGTTGTTAATAAATAGACTCAATAAAAATTCAGTCGGGCACGCGCAGCTTTCCATATCTGTTCCATGGTTTTTATTGCAAACACGCGCGCTCAAGATTTTCGTCAATATCTTAATTGCCTACACGTGCATCCGTGTCATTCTCGTCAATAACTTAATTGCCAACACTCGCGCCCACGAAATCTTCCAGACAAATCCGGACTATAAAAGAGCCACCGGGAGCACAAACAAGTCACTCTCTCTTCCTTCTCGATAGTAGTAAGATCTTACGAGGCTGACTTACGTTACTCAAGGCGGAAGAATCCTCGACTAAAACTGTTGTGGTGTGGCAAGATCTTACAGGGCTGACTTACGTACCAAACGTGGCAATTTTAGTTTCGCTAGTGCGATATCGCTGGCAGTCAACGTCGTCTGCAGCCTCTATCTTCACCAC